CTTACCCTGCCTTCAAAGAGCTCAAAGTGCACCAAGAGTTAAAGCATTACACAAATAACAACTACTTTACGGTTCATTCTGTAAAGGGAGTTAGTTATTGATCAATCAAATACAAAAGCAAAGCTTCCTTCCAATATGGCATTCTGGTAATGGAAGAATTATTATTTGAGTAGAACCTTGTAAAACACTAAGACGTCAGTGCTCAAGAGCAAAGGACAGAGGGAAAAGGCTAAGTAGAGGATGAAGACAGAAAAGTGTTATGTATCTGGAAGTCATAGTCAAATCTAAATGGAGCACAAAGAAAGAGGGAAAACAGTAAAACATGTATCTTCAAAAGGGCAGGCTGAAGCCAGATCACTTTGTGGGAGTATGTGGGGATGTTTTTAGAGATAAATTTCGCAGAGAGCAAGGACAAGAGCTGATGAGCTAATTCTAGCAGTGGTGCAAAAAGAAGAACAAAATGGCAATAAACTGAAGGCAAAGACAGTGACAAGGCTACAGCAAAAACCCAAGAGAGATGGCTCAAATGCCTGAATTAGAGCAGTGGCAGTAGGAATGGAAATCTAAGACCTTGCAGGGTTTGGTGACTGACTGGACATAAAAAGTTTATTTATTTGATAGAAAAATATAAAATGTTTATATGCTCTTGATAAGAGTGAATATAATCACAATAGATCTACTCTGCCATTTAGTTTTATGTATCTGTCCCTGAAACTGCAACTATTTCTTCTAGGTGGTGAGAATAAAGACAAGCTTCACATTAATGAATTGGATTTTTAAAAATATGTACCTTTGGGGGTCTCAAACTTGTACTGATTTGTAATGTTTGTAAAGATATTTTTGTATTACTAGAAAAACACCACATTGACCTCTAAGCTCCAATTTAAAATGAAAATGAATTCTAATACATGTGCTAGAAAATGTTCATTTCTGTAGGTACTGAGACAAAACATAAAGAGATATATCCCAATAAATATGTGCTTAATCATATGCATAATCCTATACATAGCACCAAGTCAGCTGACAACACTGAAAACTCCTCCTCACCCAGTATTTACCAAAAACTTTTGGCAGCATCACCAAACAATAAAATGAAAAAGAAAATTTAAGTCAGATGAACCCAATTCTGATATAGTTTAAAGGTATATGAGTTAAGGTAAAAAGCTAAGCTGCAGTCCCAACAGACCCAACAATACCATGGCTTAAAGAACAAAAAGTTTATTTCTTTGTCTAGTCTACAGTGAGTGGTCTCAGCTGGTGGTATAGCTGCTTCATGAAGTTGTAATACTTAGGGGCCCACGATTCTGGGTTGGAGAAAATTCATTTCAGATTCCAACTAGTGGGAAAGAAAGAAGCCAGAGAGGAAACAAGTCGGAGGTCTTCAGGTATACCCTGGAAAAGGCACACACCACTTGAGCTCAAGTCCCACTGACAGAACCTGGCCACTTGGTCATAGCTGATAGAAGACTGAGCCATGCAGTGTAATCATCTGCCTTCAGAAGGGAATATTGAATTCCAAAGCGGTGGACAAGTTACCTTTAAGCAGGGAGAGGGTTTTAATAGAGAAGTAAATTTTGAGCTGTTGGCAATGTAAGTGGTAGTTACATGGATATTCTCTTAAATTAACTCATTAAGCTATATTTTAAGTTTCAGCATTTTTAATGTTTTTTTCATGGCAAAAGGTTTTTTAAATAAAGATCTAGGCTTGTTTCAAGAAAATAAAACAGTCAATCTTTACTGGGTGTGTATCTTGAGACACTTCAGTCAGTCTAGCAGATTAGAAAAATTAGACCCCAAAGTGACAAGTATCACAGGTTTATTATTTGGTTTTACTTAATAAGAATTTGCAAAAGCAAATATTTATAACTTATTTCCATTAATTTGTAAGTTCAATTTTGATATTTATTTGGTATGAAATGGACTTAAAGAAAGGCTGACTTACAGTAATTTTCTTAGAAGAATCTGACATAGTAACAGCTCAGTATTCAACAAAAATCCAGGAATTAATTAAGACTCTAGGTCCAGCATCAATTATCAATAACCCACCAGCAATCCAACGTTAATTAGATTCATATAAAAATAAAACTGAGCCGGGCATGGTGGCTCATGCCTGTAATCCTAGCACTCTGGGAGGCCAAGGCGGGAGGATCGCTCAAGGTCAGGAGTTCGAGACCAGCCTAAGCAAGAGCGAGACAAGACCCCGTCTCTACTAAAAAAATTAAAAGAAATTAGCCAGACAACTAAAAATAT